TTGTCTTTGGGGTCCCAAACCCAGCTGATGAGAGAAGTGCAATTTGAAGCCACATGTTGCGGGGCTAACGGGTTGGTCCCCATGTGCAGAACAGTCTTCGGCTCTGTGGCTCCGGCTCTTCTTCATCTTCAGAGTTCTTTGTCCATATCGATCTTGGCTCGAAGCTGCCTGAAGGATCCAACCAACGATTCCTCTTTTGCACTCACCTTATAAAGAGTTTATCCACCTTTTGGTGCATTTGCATTGGCTAGCTTTGTTGCTGTGCCTGTTTCATTGGCTGACTGCTTGGACCGATAATCTCATATCCATCACCTTCTTTGGACATGACCTGATGTCTGTTCTAATGTCCCCGAGTTGCTCAACAGTTCTCTTGTGTCTGACCTTTTCTTAGGTAAGTTTTAAGTTTAGCAATAAGGCCTTAGTCACCTCCGCTCTCCCATCAGTTCCTCTTTCCCCCTGACTTTTCACCTACCATCTACCTCTAACACAACATCAGTGACCTTTAGTTACAGTTACACATTTTACACCACATTTCAAGTTCAATGTCAAAATCACATTTATAACCTTTTAGTTTCTCTGATTTAGCATTCACTTATAATATAATAACCATTACTTATTAGTTACTCTTATTATAATCATGATGTGTCATTACAGACATTTCTGAAAAGAAACCAAGAATAATCCATTATTCTAATTATTTGATACCAAGTTACATTTATTTGTTTCACCTGTAAATACTTCCACAAGTGTAAGAGTAAGTGTAAATATTCTTATACTCAAACCAACATCAACCATTGGTTAAACCAATATTAATTATTGGTTTAATCATAAGTTATCATTATTAATTTAAGTATTCTACTCTGGGTTTTTATCCAATTACTCAAAATGTTTAGATTTTATTCTTTAAACCTCCAGTGCCCAAAATGAGCAATCTGAACTATTTTTATTCACTGCAGGCTGGAAACTTCCTCTTTCTTCAGGAAACCTGCTCTTCCTGTTCCACGACTCTCTTTTTACCTGACTATGATTTTTTATGATTAAATAGAAAAAAAGTAGAATTAAAGCAAAGTTTGCAGGACACAATAACAACGAGATTAATTTTATTACCGTCTGAGTCTACTGTTGGGTCTTGATGTCACCTGTGTAATCAATTTTAAAGGTAACTTTATTCATTGTTATTATTAAACTAAAATCTCCAGCATGGGGAAGTGGGATGAGCTCGACTTTTCTCAACAGAGGGCATCCCTGGCAACAACCTTTCCTGATTTGAATCGCCCTTGAAAATATTTTGTTTGATGCTTTTTCTGCAGTTGGATTATTTTATAATATTTTAACCCATTTAATAAAGTTACTTCCACAATTCAACCTTTCCAATATGTTAAAAAGATAAGGCCATTCAACCCTATCAAAAGCCTTCTCTTCGTCCAGTGAAAGAAAAGCTGTATCATTAGCGTTCTTTTTAAACCAAATAATATTCAGGACCCTTCTAATATTGTGATATCCTTCCCTCCCAAGTATAAACCCATTTTGGTCCTTATTTATTATGCCTGGTAGAATTATTTGCAACCGTATTGCCAATAGTTTACAGATAATTTTGAGATCAGAGTTGAGTATACTGATGGGTCTCAGATTTTCACACTTATTCGGAGGCTTACTCAGTTTTGGCAGCAGAATAATTAGGGCCTGATTTAAAGAGGGAGGCAGGGTGCCTTTTTTAAATAACTCCATAAACATATCTAGAAGGGGAGAGAGCAATTTATCCTTAAATTTTTGATAAAGATCGATGGGGATACCACCAGGTCCTGCTTGCTTACCAGATTTCATTCCATTAATGGCCTGTGCTAACTCCTCTTTGTTTCTATATTTAAGTCTATTCTACAATCATCTGCAATGACAGGGATATGTAGCCCACTCAAAAACTTATCTAATTCCTCTTGGTCTAAGTTTCCTTGAGTATCGTATAATTTCTGATAATAATCTTTTAAAAGCATTATTAATATCCTTTGGATCTATTATCCTGTGATTCAGTTGATGTGATGGAGGTTGTTGCTTCAAGCTGTATATGGAGCGTGATCTGAGATCACTATGCTATCATACATACAGTTTTGAATTTTGGATATTAGTTCTGATGAAATTAAAAAATAATCTATTCGGGAATAGGCTCTGGTTTGTTGAAGAAGTTCCCTAAAGATATCTACCAGTCTAAGAACTTTCATAAACATCTGTAGAGTTGTTCTACAGTTACTATGTGTCGGATCTGACCCAGTGGATCTATCCATTTCTGGAATAAGGGTACAATTAAAATCCCCTGCGATCACAAAGCGCCCCTGCAGCAATGAAAGTGAGAGGAACAAGTCCTGAAAAAACCCTGAATCATTTGTGTTAGGACCATAGACGTTAACCAGGTTATTTTTTTCTGATACCAAAGAGCCCTGAACTATCAAATATCTACCCTTCTTATCCTTGATAACATTGTTTATAAGAAATGGGACAGATTCATGGACAAGAGTCATAATTCCTCTTGCTCGAGAAGAAAATGCTGAAGTGAATACATTACCCCGCCACCTCCTCCTGACCTGCTCCTCGTCCTCTTCCATAAGATGTATCTCCTGTAGAAATACTGTTCTGGAATCCAAATCATGCAGTTTATTAATGACTTGTTTGACCTTCTTTAAATATTGTAGGCCCCTGCAGTTCCATGTTACTATTTTAAGATTTAAAGCTTGCAACATGCAAGACTAACCAAATTACCAGAAATGGAGAAAAAACACACAAAGTTTACCCCATAAGAACATGGACATCTGAGAAGCTTAAACAACAGAACAAAACTCACAACATATCCCCTAAACCTGAACTCCCACACCACGTCCGACCTCTGAGGGTCTCCCTCCCCCCTCCGTACACCTCACGTTATCGCGTGTGACCGACCCATACGCAGTGAGGAGCAGTCTAACCACTCAATAACCAAAACAAGTTTTTACTACCGATCCTTTTCACTATATATAACAATAATTTAACCTTCCACATGTTTGCACACGGGTTTGAACTTAATATGCACATCAACCGGTATGTGCACGCTTTCTCTTGCCATGCCTAAGTAGAACTAAATGTATTCATAATAGTCCACTGCTGATCCACTATCAATACAGCTGACCAATAAAGGCAACAACAAGGTTATACGAAGTCACAAATTGTTCATTTAAGAAACCGTATGGGCGTTCAGCCCTTTGTTACCTCCCCATCAGTTTTCTTCTGGATCTTCTTTAGAAACTCACATGCAGCCACCGCTATTTTGAAAGCATGAGTTCGGTCCTGATAAGTCACCAACAGCTTGGCTGGGTGAGCCACCCCGTGGCGCAATCCCAGTTTGCGCAGCTCCGTGCGTATCAGGTCAAACTGCTTCCGAAGCTGGAGCAGACCCGCCACGGTATCTGGGTAGAATCGGACTTGCTGGTTCTGGTAGCGAATGTCAGTGTTAGCCCTTGATTCTAGCAATAAGCTGTTTATCCTTGTAGCTGAGAAATCTCATTATTAAAGTGTGAGGCGCTGTGGTGCTGTCCCTCCAGGGTCCAATTCGATTCACTCTTTGCACGGCCACCGCTCCAACACCGAGGGTCTCCAGCAGCCACTTCTCCAGGAACTCACATGGATTCTGTCCTTCAGCTCCCTCCGGCAGGTTGACCAGCCTCTGGTTGTTTTGTCTCGACCTGGCCTCCAGATCCATAACTTTATCTTCCGAGTCTTTCTTCTTGGACTCTAGCGTATCCACCTTAGCTCGTAGCGTTTCTATCTCACTCTCTGCATCTGAAATGCCTGCTTCGGTTTCTGTGATTCGCTGGGTACAGTCATTTATCTCTTTGCGTACACTGTCGATGGAACCCAGAACTTCATCAAATCTAGAGGAGAAATCCTTTTGGATCGAATTAACAGACAGTATTTCATCCACCTTGCTGCTTTGAGACTTTGAATTCTCTTCTCTGTCTCCGGCAACCATTGGAGCTGAGCATGAGTTAGCATTAGCTTTCTGCATTTCACCTCGAAGATGGTAATCCGTTAGTTTATGCTGTTTTCCTTTTTCACTTACTTCTTGGGATGCTTTTGCTGCTTTGGGCATTATTCCGATCATTCATGCTCACTGGCCGTTTAGTTTGTTTTGAAAGGAAGGGGTTTTAAGTAATTTCTTTGACAGGAACAGCAGAGCGGTGAAAACGCATCCTCTCACATGGCCGCCTTAACCGGAAGTCCTGGATGTCTTACTTTTACTATTATTTAATTCATATAGGTTTAAACCTGTGCCATGATATGATGATGATTTCTGTCAACACTGGGTGGGGCCTGAACATTGTGGGTGAAGGGCAAATTTTATTCCCTTGCCGTATGCATACAGTTGTCTCTAAATCATACATGCATCATCTGATTTGCGCCAAACTTTTTATGATTGACTTTTGTGAACTTCTAAAAAGCCCAATAACATTAAATTGTAATTTGACTCCATTGCACCCCCTAGGTTATTTTATCAACGATTTCTCCTTAAGTCAGCCAATCTACACCAGATTTTTGGTTGCGTCATCAGGAAGCACTGCTGAACACAATGATGTGCATTTCCTAGTGAACAGGTGCAAGGAACATTGCGAGAGCATCGACGGTGGCGAGCAGGTGGCGATGCTGGACCCCCTGCAGTCGCCACGAGGCCGGAGCAGCGCTGAGCTTTGAAGACTGTTCGAGGCTGCTTGCAGCTTTAATACTCAATTTATATTTGTTAAAATATCTCCATCAAAACCAAGTATAAATTATCATTCAAATAAGCTTTCTGCATCTTATTCACTGCAAGTGTTGTTTATCCGATGAGTCTCATCCTAAATGAAGGATGAGACTCTAATAATGAACATTCGAGTTTAATGGCAATAAAACATTACTTTCACCATTAGAGCTAGGAATGCAAACAGAAAAAAACAGGCTAAGCCACAAAATGTGGCTTAGCCTGTTTTGTGGAATTGCAAACTTCTACAACAGTTTGCAATTTAAAAATGCATACAACTTAAAATACCAGTAAAATGTTTAAACAACTTTAGTTTGATAAAACAAATGCACAATTTTAGTTTTTAAAACATGCGTCATGCACATACCTTGTGTGTCTATGAAGGGCCGCTTTAATCAACTCCTTTCATTAACATTTAAATCGGAAGCTGTCCCTTCGAACTAAAAGCATCAACCCACAAACCAGAAGTTAACTATACCTAAAATTAAAGGCAATACACATCAGAAAAGGGATACAAACAAACAAAGTAGAGCTTAGTGGGCCACCAGACTTGTAATACACTGGGGAAATCCCTGTTATATATTAAGTATTATAAATACATCTTCCAACTCTATACTATAACTCCAACTCTAACTATAAAGCACCAACTCTGGCTAGATGCAGGTTGGTAAAAATTAAATATGATGTAATTCTTTTAACTTTTCTTGCTTGTGAATTCAGAACAAAGTAACAATGGAAAAAATCAACTCAAAAGTTGTTCATTATGTTTTGTCAGTTGAGAATAATTTATACACAAATTCTGATTAAGGGAGCAAAGGTTTTCATTTTGTGGATAGTCATACTTCACTGATAACAGAAATGTGAAAATGTATTATAAGGTGGTAACCCATTATTTATTATATAAGTTTTTATAATGTATAATGTTAGCCCATTATTTCAAGTATTTCCTATGTAGATTTGGGAAACGGCTAAATTTTATTTAATTGAATAATAACTGAATACATACTTTTCTGCATGCTTGTGATTGACAGAATGGGTTACAATTGGTAGACTGCTACTTAAAGAAAAACCTACAGTAAAAAAACAAAACAAACAGGGTTTGAATGACTGCCACAATATTCTAGTCAGGGTTAGAGCCTCTTGATTTGCAGTTTTTAACCCCTTAACCCTTACCCCCTAAATCAGTGTTTTTCAACCTTTTTTGAGCCAAGGTACATTGTTTTAATTGAAAAAATCCCGAGGCACACCACAAACCAAAAATGTAAACAAAGATACTCTGTAGCCGCCTATATTGCATATATAGTCATTCTTATCAAAGTGTCTTGAATGGGAATCAAACACACAAATTTATTTTTATCATATTTTACAATTCTTTTTTCAAATTGCACTTAACATGTCCACTTCAAAAATACACCAGAACAGCCACAACACTGTCGTGTGTGATGCATGAATGTAGTAACATTCATGCATATTTGCAGATAATCAATTTGTTTTAAAAAAATCTTTTAAGACCAATTACTGTATTTTCCGGACTATGAGCACACCATACTATAAACTGTACCTTCAAATTTTTTTAACCCCCTTTCCAACCTGAAACTTGTATATATATCAGCCACACTGGGCTACAGGCCGCTGGTCATAGACATTAACGTATATGATGTCTATGCCGCTGGTATCTCTGCCGCTCTCGGTTTCCCATAAGGACCCAGCAGAGGGCTGCGTCCTAATAACTGCTGGATATATTAAGGACGCAGTTCTCCATCTCCAAATCCGGTTTTGTTCACGCCGAGTTTATGTGCAGCGGCTTTATTTCCCTCCTGTACTTCCAGATCAATACTCCTCAACTTAGAAGCTGCATCATATGAGTTTGAAAACATTTCTCCGTCGTGCCTGCTGCTAGCATGTGCTTGGTCTAAATGAAAATTAGCACTTTCTTCTTTGATTTCCAATTTTGACTTCCAATGATTCACTTCCTGCTAAAGAGCCCCCTGGTGGTTGAAGAAAAATCCACAGAAAAGTCGCATGGTTCAAAGTGTAGGAAAAAAGTAGCAGTTTATAATCCGGAATATACGGTAGGTGAAATTGGATAATTTCCACGGCACACCTGATGATCACTCACAGTACACTAGTGTGCCGCGGCACAGTGGTTGAAAAACACTGCCCTAAATCACCAAAAATGCCTGAAAAGGCATACCCAAATTAAATCAGCTGCTGTTCTTGAACAATTTGGAGTACATGCAAAAGCTTGGTCTCTTTATGAAGATGACAAGCTAAATTATCAATTTTTGCAGTCAAAAATACTTTAACTGTATGTAGTTTGTAGCTATTACGTTTGTAACATAAAAGAAATTGAAAAATTTGATTCACCCAGATTTTTCATTTTTATTTCTTGTAAATGCATATTGAGTGTTGAATGTATGGACTGGAAAATACAATAAATCGGAATAAAGTATTCTGCTCATGGATTTCAAGACTTATCAAAATAGCACAAAAAAGAAATGTCATTTTTGACATGCTTATTTTTGAAGATGTACAGGCGTTCTCCAAGTGTGCCATTTGGAGTCTCCATGGCAGGTGGGATTAGCGTACAGTCAGACCTCCTCCCCCTTCTTGTAATACGCTGTCTGTCCATCTGCCCCCATCAGTCCATCCACTCCTCCCCCACAGCACTCAACAGAACCTTTTCTGCCTGACATGCGTCAGGCTTATCTTATACTTCAAGATAGGAAAAAATATGGCGACAGCAGGAGTGCCGAGATTTCATAAGGATGTCGTCAAACTAAAATTGGTAATTGGCAAAGCATGTCATAAAACCATTGCCACAAGGTAGTAGTACCACAATATTATTTCACCACCTCAGTGGTCATCAATAATGTGTTTTTGGCACAGAATCTCTAGAACCCTGAGAACGATTAGGGATATTAATGGTTTTAATTAATACTGTTTACGCCATTTGAACTTCAGGGTCTTTGCAGACATTGCTTGAACTTGGCCCCGTTTACCATTTAGCACTTTTTATGGATTACTGTTGTTGTTCAGAGTTCCCAGCGATTCCCTGCCAAAATCAGAATCAACAGGTCAGATTGTTGAAAGATCAATGATTGGGCAAAACACTGCACTCTGTGCACTTGTAGATATAAACCCTGGCTCCTATGATCACAGACTGGCTGCTTCGCTGTTGTGTGTTCACAGACCCAAAGTTAGATGAACCTGTCCCACCGATCAAGCTGAGAATTGAACCCCAGCATCACATATAGTCATAACCACTAGTTACGACAACCACAGTGAAACTAAATATGATGTGCTATGATCTGGAGCAAAACCAGCTGGCCGGAAGGTAAAATTAATTTTTTTGTCCATTTAGTGTCCATTTATGTCCACACCTTTCTCTTTGTCCCTGCAGCTAGTAACACCAGACAAATATGAGGTCAAGGGATCGATGGAGGAAGCGGCTATCATCCTAACATCTTGCATCGAGCCGAAGATGCAAGTGACAATCACTTTAACTTCACCGGTCATCAGAGAGGAGCCGGGCCGGGAAGGAGGTTGGGAAACGCATCACAGCCTTCCCATTGCACTTTTTTTTTGTCTTTCTGCTCTCTCTATGCAAACAGTTTCAGTATGTTGGTTGATATTCCCAAAGAGCATTGTTCTGCTGGCACACCTCAAAGATTCACACATTGGATCAATTTCCATCTTTCTATAGAATTTTTTTTTCATTTGGATTGTGAGAGCTCTCTCTTCTCTGGGGTTTGCAGGACAACTTGTTTTCCCTCCTTGTTCTTTAATCAGATAATTTTTTTCAATGACATGCATGACCTCTATTACTGGTCTGGAGCCAAGAGCCTCTGCGAGATCCATAACCTGGTTAGTTTACCTGTACTCCCATTGTGGTTTTATGGGTCACATTAGCTTGTTTATCAAATTAAATAAAGGAAAGTGCCAGCAGTGTTGCTCTTCCATCTTCTGCTCTGTGATTCCTACCTCTCAAATGCTTTCTTTTATCCTTGGAACAAAGCATGATCAGTGTTTGCCTTGTGTTAAGTCTAGTTATTCCAAGTTGAGATTCTATTTTGTTTCCTGTGTTTCAGGGAATTGTTTCCATGTGTATTGTTGGCTATACTCAATGGAAGACATGATTACATCTTTTCCCTATATTTAGTTTGAGATCAGTTTAAGAGAATCATTTCTTGACAAAGAAGTAGACAAGCTGAATTTGTTTAAATGCTGCAGTGAAACCGGAATTGTGTAAGAGCAGAGGAAATTGATGTAATTTTCCCACAGGAAACAAATCTTCTTGTGTGCTGGTGAATGGTTCACCATGCTTACGTCCCCTGTTCTGAAGTGCTCCCCTGAGTTGACCTTTTTTTTCTTTTTTTTCTTTTTTCTTTACAAACACTCAAATTTGAGATTGATTCCTCTCTAAGACAACTCTTTGCCATTTTAGATTTGACTGGCAACAAAAGATGAGGATAAATGATTTTAACACTGATAAATCAATTCAAATAGAGAAAATATCAAGCCAATGAGTGGAAAATTTATTGTTTTTCATTATTCTTAGGGGAGTATTGTATAAAGTTCAGGAAAGAAGGTTTCTGTAGAGGAATCTATGGTTGCATCGGAGCACAAGCTTTAATGACCGCTGGGGTCTTATTCCAGCCTACTGATGTTAGGTATGCATGCAGTGATATCTAACCCCTTTGTTTTTGGCTAATCGTCATTTATTCTTCTTTGGCAACCATTGCTTCCTCCTTTTTTAAAAATTGTAGTTATACACAGTTTTGCATAATATTGAATTATCCTTCATACACACACCACACACACCCTCAGAGGATTGTGTCCCACTAGTGAATCCCATATGGCCCACCAGTCTCGGAAGGATTTTTGACCAAGGTTTTCTCACATCCCAAAAACTTTGCCACACCTGCTATTCCCATGCCACTTTTTATCAGGTTTTTTCTTCTTAGCAATTTCTTGTTAAAATTTTTAGTTCATATGACTGATTGGTAGACATTCAAACTTTACTGTGAATAAATATTATCCACAGAAAAAAGTTTTATTCAAGTTTCACATTTTTACCTGATAAAATGGTTTTGGCCTAAATGGTTCTTATTCAAAACTCAAGTTTTTAACTGAACACTTAAGTGAGTCTGTTGAATCAGTAACTTCATACCTATTTGAAAATTAGTTGAAGTACACAGCCAGCTACCTTTAGCTTCGTTCCTCAGCAGGGTCATTTTTTTGTCAGACTGTATTTATTTTTTTAATTACTAAGTGCAGAATAAGTATAAAGCTTTGTTAGAAAGAAACATTGGTATGTGTGGCAATGTGTTTGTTCTATGCCAGCCTCGCTGACCTGGTCAAACACCCATTCCCCATCATCGTTTTGACACTTGAAATCCATTTTTAGATGTAACCTCGGGTATGGTGAAAGACCCAGCGGACGTCTTGGACAGGCAAAAATGCCTTGACGCTCTGGCTGCTCTGCGCCACGCTAAGTGGTTCCAGGTTCGGAACATCATTTTACTTTCTCATTGTAGCCTTATGAGATGTATTTTTTAAATTGAGTTTTAAAACCTTTTTTTCTTTTTTTTTTAAATAAACAGGACAGTTCATATTTGAACCAAGAAAAAAAATGTATATTCAAGGATGCCACTCTGATAATCTGATTTATGTCCATTGTATATATTATAAATCTCAGCCCATCTGAATCCTTCATATAAAACTTTAATAAACTCATTGAATTGGCATCCTTGTATTATTTTCAGCATTTTTCGACTACTAATGAAATTCCATAAGGCTGCAAAATAACTTGCACAAATGCCTTTATGTCCAACGTTTGTATTTTCATCCTTAACTTTTTATAGAATAGGGATTGAGAGAAAAGGGAACATCTGAGTACTTTCCTGTGATTTTGCTACCTGAGCAAAAGACATGGGCTTAGGAACTCTGATTTCTTTGCCTCTTTCAGTCCCTATACTCTTCTCTCAGGTGGACTGTTGTACTTCTCAGTCCTTGTTTGTGAGAAACTACAATCAGTATGGGGTAAGGGTTTAGAAGATGGCAAGAGAAGTCCTAACTCTTGTGCATCTTGTAAACTCATAACTCCTTTACTAACTGTAAGGTACAAGACTACTGGGAATGGCAGCTAAATGCAAATGTTTGGCTTAAACACATCAGACTGTATTAAAGCTTCCATTATGCACAGTAGTGATTGGACCTCTATAATGTAACTGATTCACTTGTTTGGTCCATTTTCTTGTCAATCTTGGTCACGCTATAAACCTAACTGTATTGCCTCAAAAGGCTAGAGCCAATGGTCTTCAGTCCTGCGTGATCATCATCCGAATCCTGAGAGACCTCTGTCAGCGAGTCCCCACATGGTCACCTTTCCCTGGATGGGTAAGTTCACAATAATGCTGATTGCTGATTCATACACTTAGCTCATTTAGTTTTTTTTTTTCTTTGTCTAGTTTGTAGTTTATCTTTGCTTTTCTTCATTATCATAGCTCAGCATGTGAAGGCCACAGTAGATTTTGCTGATAAATACAGCTTAAAATGGCTTAAATATTGAGATTTCACTTTATGAACACTCTTTATGTTGCCTTTGTTTTTGTCCTGTATCTTGCATTTTTCCCATTTAACATTTATCATGATAATAATCAGATGTGGGGACTCGAGTCACATGACTTGGACTCGAGTCATTAAAATCAAGACTTGAGACTTGACTTGAATAAATGCTCAAAGACTCGGACTTGACTTTGACTTTCACACCATTGACTTGGGACTTGACTTGACTTGAAGCTCTTTACTTGAAAAGACTTGATATTTTACTCAAGTCAAAAATTTAAAACGCATTATAAAGTGGCCACATTAATTAATTTCACTCATTCCGTATTAACAGGTGCAGACCGTCCCTTTGTTTTTCCGCACTCCGTATGTACGTGTGCATAGCTGCAGCACAACCGATCAAATTAACAGGATTTAAAAATAACTGGGGAAAAAACGAGAGACGAAAAAACGCTCGGAACAGATATGCTCTTGAGTAATTTCTTTTGGGTACATCAATCATGAAATATTCAACTAAAAACAGTGAAACATGCAAAACCTGCAAGAAGAGGATCTCAGATGGAGATACAACTTCCAACTGTTCGGCATTTGAAGTTGCACAAAGAAAGATGAGCGGTACTTTTCTTTTACTATGAGACAACGGACTTGCTAACATTGTGTTAGCAACTCTGGGTTGTGTTGATACCGCTTATCTTTCACTTGTATGCTATGTTTAGTCATGCTGTATAAATCCGGTGATTCAAACGTATCCACAATAACAGGCACGTGCAGAGGGGGGTTTAGGGGTGCTTGAGCACTTGCCCCTTTTGCTCCTTGCCCCCAAGTGCCCTTTTGGTCCAAATGTTTATTTATTTTTTTGGTATTATTTCCTAAGCCCTCTTAACAGAATAACATGTACTAAAATTATTTGGCTTTTTGTTGGGTTTTTTTGTACAACATAAGTCCTCTGGTCTCCTTTTTACCTTTGACACTTTGCCCGTGACACACGATGCAAAATGACTCTCGCACAGTGAGATAAGGCGGCTAACTGCGGAGCTCAACATAACGAACGTTCCAGATTACAGAACTGTTTTTGGTAAATAAAAAAAAAAAAGTTATTGGTGAATAAAGTGGAGTAGACTTGCTACTTGTCAGATGACGGAAAACGTTGAAGTATCGTTTCTGCTTCAACACGGAGTCGCGGTTTAAGCAGAAAGGTAATGAAATACACAACAGACACT